ACCGTCCTATAACCCTTTTACAAGCCTTTTCTAAGGTACCAGAGCGTTTAGTTCATAAGCAACTGTATACACATTTTATAAAAAATAAACTCTTATCGGTGTCTCAATCGGGCTTTGTAGCTAAAGAGAAAAAAGTATATCATTTGGCTCGGTTTTCGACGCAAACTCCGAATATGATATTTGTATTGCATAAAAAGTGAGTTCTGATGGAGAAAATAGAGAATTACGGGCAGAATTCCGAGTTTTTCGCTGATTCAGAAAGAATGTACTTTCTCTGGAATGAAAGAAATTTTTTGAAAAAGCGATGCCTACTTTTGTTCGCCTTTAAATACGGATTCAAATGGCGTATGACGATCGGAGAAAAGTTTCAAAACCAGGGAGGAGATAGGTTTGGGATAGATGCAGCTCATTTTGTCGAGCGCTTACTCTTGTCAAAATTGTGTAACACAGGTATTTTGTTTCTTGTGACTCAAAGGTACACGATTAGACTCAGTTTTTGATGGTGAATCCGAATATACCAAATTTGAAAAATTACAGTGAACGAAAGGTGGCAAAATCTCAAGTTTTCTCAGAGGGATGCAAATCTTTTGTTCTATTGGTACTCTTAGTATTTTGAGGATTTCTCTTCAAAAACTTGATCGAATTCGAATCAAAAGGTGATATTCGGAATCAGCTCAGTTAGGGCTATCTGAGTATGTAGCTTTCGACCGAAAGTTAAGATAGTGCTGCATTTTTGAATTGCGGGCACCTTAGTTGGATCAGTCGTATTTGACAAAATAGGTCTAACAGGTATGTCAGGTATATGGTCTTTAAATAAAAAATATAAATGCGAAAGGAAAGTGGAATCGTATTTAAGTATTAATTTTGTATATAGAACTGGGAAAATGTTTGTCTCATAAAATAATCTACGTAGGAAAGCTCCTGTTTTATTCATTAACATAGGAGGAGGATTAAATTGTAACATTTGGTAGCTTGAGTTTTTTGTATATGTTCATCGTTTTCCCTTTTCATTGTCATATGGTCGGGCATAAATAATGTTTTACTTTTTGCTGTTTTTCGTACAAGGGCTTGCTCGTTTCTAATTTTTTGATTCAACAGATGTAAGATACACAACTGTGGTGAAATCAACGAACGATAATTATAATAAGATCGACAGAGTTTTTATCAAATCATTAATAAACGTTTTTGCGATATGAAGGCGTGATGATAAATGATATAACGGGTGGGCTATCAAGAATTCCGCTACTTTGTTTTCACTATAACTCAGCCAGTTTTGATGCTATCAACGAAATTTTTTTTAAAAATATTCGCCGTTCAGTTCTTTACAAGAATATGTGGAAAATTTTGTTATAAAACATGAAGAAGAAAAATTATATAAAGAATACTGAAAAGCTCCAACTTGTTAAGCTTTCTAAAGTGGTGCTCCTTGGTTTTCATGAACAGTTTTACCTCTTTTTCTGTCTCTTTTGCAAATATGATAAGATGACAGAGTAAGTTTTTCGAGTACAGTAAGTGCCCTTTTTCGCATGATCTACAACGAAGTGTTATGAGGCAAACAGTACTTTATTAAAACTGAGCCGAAATCACATAAAACTTTTCTTATTTACGCATTACATCCGATTGAAGGACTATATTCAAACTCTAAAGTTTTAGTCAGAAGTTTTAGTCAGAATTCAGAAACGTGATTTTGCAAGAAATAATTCACCTACGCAACAGGTGTTCATGCAACAAATCTTTCTAACATAATTGAACGATAGAACTTTTCAAGCGCTACTGAATGGCTACTTGTTTCTTTTGTAGGTTCACAAACCCAACGAATGGAACCAAAAAGACTATTTTATGTCGAAGAAAGTTGGGCATTTTGGAGCTTCTCGGTATTCTTTATATAATTTTTCTTCTTTATGTTTATAACAAAAGTTTTGACATATTCTGGTAGAGACTTGATTGGCGAATCTTTTAAGAAAGAAATTTGGCTGATAGCGTCAAAACTGACTGAGTTATAGCGAAAACAAAGCAGTGTAATTCTTTATATCCACCCGTTGTTTGACAAGTCTCTTTAAACTTCGTAGCTTCATTTGCGATTCCACTATCTATACATTGATCTCCAATCCTAAAATTAATCAGAACAAGGGACACTGCCGGGTTTTGCAAAACTTTGACTAAGGGAAAACTAATTCTATGACTAACTATAGTATAACTTGGCACATTTCAGTCTGCTGCCATTCTTTTAAAATTCCTTATTAAAGAGAAAATTAACATTTTATTACTAAGGTCTCAATATGACATGAATAAGAATAAAAAGCGTATAAGTCGATAACCGTAATAGATTTTCAAATTCTGTTTTGACTAAAACAACGTCCATTTACGTCTACATAAATGAACTGATTAAAAATATCGATTATTCTTGTTAAACAAATATTCGAGATAAGGTTTTAAAATGAAACAAGTGAAATTCACGATAACTTAGTTGCCTAAGTTTGTTTCAAGTCTTCCTAGAAAACGGATCTTCCAAATAGTTTTCTTTTTTGATGATTGTCTTTTGAAACCATAGGCAAAACTGTCTTCTTTCGATTGCTGAAAATCCAAATCTCTATCTTTTATCGTCTTTGAGTTATTCAGAAAACAACTAGCGGCCTTATATTTTGGTATTGATAATACGAATAATAGAAAAACAGAACGCTTCTTTCTCGTATTTCCATGACAAAATCTTGTTTTCTATAGTCGGAGAGATAGTGAAATGCCTCGTTAACATCACATTTAATGTGATTAATTGAATTTATGCTTAACGTTCAAGTAAAAATATTAAATAAATCGTAATCCTGTATTAAGCGAGCATTGAAACCTGACCAAAACCTTATCTTGAATATTTGTTTAACAAGAATAATCGATATTTCTAATTGGTCAATTTATGTAGACCTAAATGGACATTGTTTTAGTCAAAACAGAATTTGAAAATCTATTACGGTTATCGACTTATACGCTTTTTATTCTCATTCATGCCATATTGAGATCTTACTAATAAAATCTTAATTTTCTCTTCAATAAGGAATTTTAAAAGAATGGCAGCAGACTGCATTTTGATTTCTCCCTTCCTTAACATACACATAAATCATCATCGCTTAAATCTCCCACATTACTAATCATGACAAGTTCAATTCCTACAAATAATACTAATTTGCCTGATATTAACACTGAAGTTTTAACGACAACTAAACATGATCACGTTGATATTTATAAACCATTTGAAGAAAGTCTATTAAAAGATATATCAGTCTCAGATCTTGAAAATTTTGATAATCGGTCAAGTTGGATAATAACCGTTGAAGATATTTACATTAAAATTTAAATAAAAGTTCAGCACAGGAAAGGTGCCAACAAGGTTTTTACTCTGATTCGCTCTCTGAGGACGTGGATGAGTCTGTTGTGTGAGCTTCACCAATCACTTCGTCTAATAATTCATTGAATGTATCTATGCCATGTTTCATTTTTGCCATATTCCTTTGAATTTTGTTGAACTTTTGTTGTAGTTGTGCTAGAAAAATAGACTGATTAAGGATAAAAGAAAATGTATGGAGAAAAACATACTGTTTTTATCATGATTTTGGGATTTTCCAATTTGTTCTTGTTGTTTTTGACGTATAGTGGGTTGACGTTAATGTGTTCAAGTTTTTTCTTGGTGGTTTAGTAGTAGCTCGAGGGACGGATTCCTTCACCGAGTTTGCAGTTGAATCATTGGTTGAGTCTGTTACTGGGAGGTTTGAGTTTTGAATTGAAAATGACATTAATGGTAAATGGGTTTGAAAGACATTAAACTTTGAATTTGTGGTTTTCTGTTGTGCATTTTCGTTGAAGAGTGATACATTTAATAAGAACTGAGAACAACAAAGAATAGTAACTGAACGCTTGATGAAACGACTTAACCGTCTATATATAGATTAAATTGGGTGTGAAATGTGTGAAGAAGTTAATTGTCTGCTATTAGATGGCTGATCAAGACCATCTGTAAATTTTTCCAATTAAGCAATTTAGAAAGAATACAGCTGTTCTCCGTTGATTGCTAGAATAGAGTGTATATTAATAATTAATTATCTATATAACAAGTCAACGAATTTTAGATGTATAGTTCATCCGTAAGACTTTATTAATTTAACTGATTAGTGACGCGTTGTTTTTGTCCAAATATATCTTGATCTCGTTTATTCAATTCATATTAGCTGAGAAAAATACATTTTATTCTAGTCTCTGATCGACTCTGAATAAAAAAATATTGAGAATGCCAATCCGAAATTATTAAAGACTAGCAATTTTACTGGTTGTCCAACAATTTCAGCTTTGAAAGCAATGGCAGATGAATATCGTCAACATCATCGGTTACATCATGAGTATTATAATGAAGTTAGAGTTTTATCGACTGCTTTGGACATTGGCGACGTAATATCTGAGCATGTCATCGGTAAGAGCTTACCGAAAAACTGCTATTAAGATTCTGTTGTGGGCATGTGAATAGCATAGAAATAAGAACGTTTCTGATCTGGTAGTTTTCGTATGACCGAACCCGTAGCATCAACACGTATAACAGAATACTTATCAGAACGACAATAGTCAATGTAGCGAGTGATTTGTTGTTCACTTGTCATATGGATAGTAAAAGGCTTATCTCCACTTACTTGTACGAAACCTATAATCAGAAAGTTGAAATTGCACTGTTACACTGCACATCTTAATAGCAGTTTTTCGGTAAGCTCTTACCGATGACATGCTCAGATATTACGTCGCCAATGTCCAAAGCAGTCGATAAAACTCTAACTTCATTATAATACTCATGATGTAACCGATGATGTTGACGATATTCATCTGCCATTGCTTTCAAAGCTGAAATTGTTGGACAACCAGTAAAATTGCTAGTCTTTAATAATTTCGGATTGGCATTCTCAATATTTTTTTATTCAGAGTCGATCAGAGACTAGAATAAAATGTATTTTTCTCAGCTAATATGAATTGAATAAACGAGATCAAGATATATTTGGACAAAAACAACGCGTCACTAATCAGTTAAATTAATAAAGTCTTACGGATGAACTATACATCTAAAATTCGTTGACTTGTTATATAGATAATTAATTATTAATATACACTCTATTCTAGCAATCAACGGAGAACAGCTGTATTCTTTCTAAATTGCTTAATTGGAAAAATTTACAGATGGTCTTGATCAGCCATCTAATAGCAGACAATTAACTTCTTCACACATTTCACACCCAATTTAATCTATATATAGACGGTTAAGTCGTTTCATCAAGCGTTCAGTTACTATTCTTTGTTGTTCTCAGTTCTTATTAAATGTATCACTCTTCAACGAAAATGCACAACAGAAAACCACAAATTCAAAGTTTAATGTCTTTCAAACCCATTTACCATTAATGTCATTTTCAATTCAAAACTCAAACCTCCCAGTAACAGACTCAACCAATGATTCAACTGCAAACTCGGTGAAGGAATCCGTCCCTCGAGCTACTACTAAACCACCAAGAAAAAACTTGAACACATTAACGTCAACCCACTATACGTCAAAAACAACAAGAACAAATTGGAAAATCCCAAAATCATGATAAAAACAGTATGTTTTTCTCCATACATTTTCTTTTATCCTTAATCAGTCTATTTTTCTAGCACAACTACAACAAAAGTTCAACAAAATTCAAAGGAATATGGCAAAAATGAAACATGGCATAGATACATTCAATGAATTATTAGACGAAGTGATTGGTGAAGCTCACACAACAGACTCATCCACGTCCTCAGAGAGCGAATCAGAGTAAAAACCTTGTTGGCACCTTTCCTGTGCTGAACTTTTATTTAAATTTTAATGTAAATATCTTCAACGGTTATTATCCAACTTGACCGATTATCAAAATTTTCAAGATCTGAGACTGATATATCTTTTAATAGACTTTCTTCAAATGGTTTATAAATATCAACGTGATCATGTTTAGTTGTCGTTAAAACTTCAGTGTTAATATCAGGCAAATTAGTATTATTTGTAGGAATTGAACTTGTCATGATTAGTAATGTGGGAGATTTAAGCGATGATGATTTATGTGTATGTTAAGGAAGGGAGAAATCAAAATGCAGTCTGCTGCCATTCTTTTAAAATTCCTTATTGAAGAGAAAATTAAGATTTTATTAGTAAGATCTCAATATGGCATGAATGAGAATAAAAAGCGTATAAGTCGATAACCGTAATAGATTTTCAAATTCTGTTTTGACTAAAACAATGTCCATTTAGGTCTACATAAATTGACCAATTAGAAATATCGATTATTCTTGTTAAACAAATATTCAAGATAAGGTTTTGGTCAGGTTTCAATGCTCGCTTAATACAGGATTACGATTTATTTAATATTTTTACTTGAACGTTAAGCATAAATTCAATTAATCACATTAAATGTGATGTTAACGAGGCATTTCACTATCTCTCCGACTATAGAAAACAAGATTTTGTCATGGAAATACGAGAAAGAAGCGTTCTGTTTTTCTATTATTCGTATTATCAATACCAAAATATAAGGCCGCTAGTTGTTTTCTGAATAACTCAAAGACGATAAAAGATAGAGATTTGGATTTTCAGCAATCGAAAGAAGACAGTTTTGCCTATGGTTTCAAAAGACAATCATCAAAAAAGAAAACTATTTGGAAGATCCGTTTTCTAGGAAGACTTGAAACAAACTTAGGCAACTAAGTTATCGTGAATTTCACTTGTTTCATTTTAAAACCTTATCTCGAATATTTGTTTAACAAGAATAATCGATATTTTTAATCAGTTCATTTATGTAGACGTAAATGGACGTTGTTTTAGTCAAAACAGAATTTGAAAATCTATTACGGTTATCGACTTATACGCTTTTTATTCTTATTCATGTCATATTGAGACCTTAGTAATAAAATGTTAATTTTCTCTTTAATAAGGAATTTTAAAAGAATGGCAGCAGACTGAAATGTGCCAAGTTATACTATAGTTAGTCATAGAATTAGTTTTCCCTTAGTCAAAGTTTTGCAAAACCCGGCAGTGTCCCTTGTTCTGATTAATTTTAGGATTGGAGATCAATGTATAGATAGTGGAATCGCAAATGAAGCTACGAAGTTTAAAGAGACTTGTCAAACAACGGGTGGATATAAAGAATTACACTGCTTTGTTTTCGCTATAACTCAGTCAGTTTTGACGCTATCAGCCAAATTTCTTTCTTAAAAGATTCGCCAATCAAGTCTCTACCAGAATATGTCAAAACTTTTGTTATAAACATAAAGAAGAAAAATTATATAAAGAATACCGAGAAGCTCCAAAATGCCCAACTTTCTTCGACATAAAATAGTCTTTTTGGTTCCATTCGTTGGGTTTGTGAACCTACAAAAGAAACAAGTAGCCATTCAGTAGCGCTTGAAAAGTTCTATCGTTCAATTATGTTAGAAAGATTTGTTGCATGAACACCTGTTGCGTAGGTGAATTATTTCTTGCAAAATCACGTTTCTGAATTCTGACTAAAACTTCTGACTAAAACTTTAGAGTTTGAATATAGTCCTTCAATCGGATGTAATGCGTAAATAAGAAAAGTTTTATGTGATTTCGGCTCAGTTTTAATAAAGTACTGTTTGCCTCATAACACTTCGTTGTAGATCATGCGAAAAAGGGCACTTACTGTACTCGAAAAACTTACTCTGTCATCTTATCATATTTGCAAAAGAGACAGAAAAAGAGGTAAAACTGTTCATGAAAACCAAGGAGCACCACTTTAGAAAGCTTAACAAGTTGGAGCTTTTCAGTATTCTTTATATAATTTTTCTTCTTCATGTTTTATAACAAAATTTTCCACATATTCTTGTAAAGAACTGAACGGCGAATATTTTTAAAAAAAATTTCGTTGATAGCATCAAAACTGGCTGAGTTATAGTGAAAACAAAGTAGCGGAATTCTTGATAGCCCACCCGTTATATCATTTATCATCACGCCTTCATATCGCAAAAACGTTTATTAATGATTTGATAAAAACTCTGTCGATCTTATTATAATTATCGTTCGTTGATTTCACCACAGTTGTGTATCTTACATCTGTTGAATCAAAAAATTAGAAACGAGCAAGCCCTTGTACGAAAAACAGCAAAAAGTAAAACATTATTTATGCCCGACCATATGACAATGAAAAGGGAAAACGATGAACATATACAAAAAACTCAAGCTACCAAATGTTACAATTTAATCCTCCTCCTATGTTAATGAATAAAACAGGAGCTTTCCTACGTAGATTATTTTATGAGACAAACATTTTCCCAGTTCTATATACAAAATTAATACTTAAATACGATTCCACTTTCCTTTCGCATTTATATTTTTTATTTAAAGACCATATACCTGACATACCTGTTAGACCTATTTTGTCAAATACGACTGATCCAACTAAGGTGCCCGCAATTCAAAAATGCAGCACTATCTTAACTTTCGGTCGAAAGCTACATACTCAGATAGCCCTAACTGAGCTGATTCCGAATATCACCTTTTGATTCGAATTCGATCAAGTTTTTGAAGAGAAATCCTCAAAATACTAAGAGTACCAATAGAACAAAAGATTTGCATCCCTCTGAGAAAACTTGAGATTTTGCCACCTTTCGTTCACTGTAATTTTTCAAATTTGGTATATTCGGATTCACCATCAAAAACTGAGTCTAATCGTGTACCTTTGAGTCACAAGAAACAAAATACCTGTGTTACACAATTTTGACAAGAGTAAGCGCTCGACAAAATGAGCTGCATCTATCCCAAACCTATCTCCTCCCTGGTTTTGAAACTTTTCTCCGATCGTCATACGCCATTTGAATCCGTATTTAAAGGCGAACAAAAGTAGGCATCGCTTTTTCAAAAAATTTCTTTCATTCCAGAGAAAGTACATTCTTTCTGAATCAGCGAAAAACTCGGAATTCTGCCCGTAATTCTCTATTTTCTCCATCAGAACTCACTTTTTATGCAATACAAATATCATATTCGGAGTTTGCGTCGAAAACCGAGCCAAATGATATACTTTTTTCTCTTTAGCTACAAAGCCCGATTGAGACACCGATAAGAGTTTATTTTTTATAAAATGTGTATACAGTTGCTTATGAACTAAACGCTCTGGTACCTTAGAAAAGGCTTGTAAAAGGGTTATAGGACGGT